TTCTGAATAATTATAATCAAAACTATTTTTTTATTAGATATTTAAAAGATATTTGGAGAAATTATTCTTGTTTTCAGATGCTAAAAGCTTAGTTTTAATTATATTTATTCGGGAGAAATTCGTTAATTTAATATAAAATATATTTAAAAAAATAATATTTTATCTTAAATTAACGAATTTCTCCCGAATAAATATAATTAAAACTAAGCTTTTAGCATCTGAAAACAAGAATAATTTCTCCAAATATCTTTCGAATTAAAAAATAAAAGTATTTTTTAGTATAGTTTATAGATTCTCTCTTTATATACAAGAATATCTAGATATTAAATAATAAATATTCCTTCATTATTCATTATTAATATAATGTATCTCATATCGAATATTGGTTTAAAGAATAAAAGAAAGGGAATAAATTCGATAACAAGAAGTCTTCTATTCTTCTTTAAAAAAAACCTTCCAAATGTTATCAAGAAAATGAGAAAATACATTTTTTTAAGTTAAAAAAAGAGATTTAAAATCGAATGACATCATAAAAATGGAGAATTTTATATATATATATATTTTTATCTTCTGACATTAAAGATCTTGAAGCAATAGTGACATATGCTCTTCTTTTTTTTCTGTAAAAAAATATTAAAAAATATATAAAAAAGTAGAAAAAGGAACCATCCGTTTGGATTGGAAAAGATTTACTTCAGTTTTTCTTTCATGAATGTTTCATGTTTTATTACAAATTACGAATTGCCTTATCGATGAAAAGAGCTTATGTCATATATAAATGTTATTTTAACTTTTATTAGCTTTCTTCTAGTTCTATGTATGTATATATATAAGAAAGAGAATCATCATATATTGGAAATATCAGCTTCTAGGTTAACGTATCTCAAAGAAAATGTTTAAATTATCTAGAGAGGAAAAAAAAGGTTAGTGCGATCATTTGCATGCTGTAGATCCCTCTTGTGCTTCAGGATTTAGAACTTTATAGGAAGATAGCATTGCCTGGGATTACTAAACACAATTACAAAATCGATTTAATGTTTATAGCATGGCATCTATATTGAACTGCGTAATCCATTGTAATCGCTGTAAGTTCTTATTTTGATTACTTGAAGTTACTTTCTATTAATCCTCAACTTTTCACCTTTTCTTTACTATTTTAAAATGTCTTTTTTCCCGCTTAAATTTAATGATTTCATCTAGTTAATATGTTGTTTTATATTACTACTTGTCAAATCTTGTCACATATATAGTTCTTTTTTTATATAAAAAGAAGAATATCGATCTATCATCGTGCATCATTCATGCGATACGATCACATAGCAACTATCGATAAGCGATGCGATTCCATTACGATGTGAGGTACAAATACATTAGTAACACGAATTTAAATTCAGAAAAGTTAAATTTTCATTTTAATAATTGATTAGATTCATATATTTTCATTTTTTATTTCATGATTTTTTAATATCGAAAAAAAATGATCGAAATTTCTCGTTAAAATATCGTAGATCTATTGCGAACGTGTTAGCGATAGCAACTCTTCTTATTACGTAATTTGCCATAAATATTCATTTTTTACATCACTAAAACTAAATTAAATAAGGATTAGAGTTAATTTCTGTCATTAAAATAGCTATAATTTAATTTATTCTTATATATTAAAGATCATTTTTCTAAGATTTAAGTCCATTCACGATCATTGTCATAGTAGTAAAAGTTGATGAAGTTTTAATGCCATTATAATCGATAATAAATAATATTTTAAAGCGTTTTAAATAACTTTCTTGAATGCTAAAACTATATTTAATATTATAAAATCGACTTCAAAAAGATCGATTGATCGATCGCGATCAAGTAACGAAAATTCAGTTAAAAAGTCATAAAACTGTTCCATTTATAGAATTAAGTGTGGGGGAGAGAATCTTAAAAGATTTAAGAAAATTTATGAAAATAGAAAAAACAATTTTTATAAAACGTAGAAAAGATTTAGAGAAATCTTTTACTGTTATGTTTAGCTCGTTGGGATGTGTACAAATAGAACGATCGATTCAGAAAATGGGAGGGAAGATGCAACTGATAACAAGCATTCACGACAAGCAGTAACAGCTGTCACTGAAGTGAACTTAACAGTGTGTTGAAAGATCGATTTTTGACGATCGTATAGTCAAAATACCAATTGAACATTTGTACATAAGTACATTTAAAAGAATTTCAATTAAAATTTCAAAGGAAAAACTTTCTTTATCTAAAATAGAGTGTATATATAAGCAGTTGTGTGTGTGTTAAATCTATTTTTAGATGACGATTCCTCTTCTCTTCAGAACAAATCTGGTATTTTGGAGATGAGAATCCTAATAGATGTAATGGATAAAGTGTGATAAGAGTTTTATCCCATTCGGTGTTGATCGTTTTTTTCTAAATGTGGTAATAAAATATCATGAGAAATTGCAACTCATTGCTGCTACCGTTTTATGGAATATTGCTTTATACTTCTGTGTTATATTCTGAATAAATGATTAAAAAAAAAAATTGAATAATAAATAGGAATATTTAAATTTTATTAGTACAAATGCATAAAAATTACTATCATAGATTTTAATGCTATTAATTTCAAGTAATTAATTTTTATTACAATAAAAATGTTTTATTTTTAATTGATAATAAAATGTTAAACGAGTTTCTGGAAAGTTATTTTGTTGAAAAGTAAAATAATAATTACCTAGTTAATGTTATAATAAAATAAGCATAATACTTTTTATACAGTTTATTTAAATTAATACTAAGTTTATTAATGTGTAGGAAAATGTCTTGAATATACAATAAACCCCGCTTTAACGATCTGGAAAATCGTCGTAAATCGAATTCTAATTTCCCATAGAATTATAAATTGAGGTACTATTCATGGAAATAGACTTTGAATTAGATAATTCCAAGCCCAAATGACCAATACAAAATATAAGGTATTTATATGGTAAACCTCGCATTTACAACCTAATTAGTTTATAGAAAGCTGTCGTTAAGCGAGACGTCGTAAATCGAGCTCAATATTTTCTTATAGGATCAGTGTCATAAATTAAGCTTCTGTTCGTAGAAATAGGATTTGAATCGCATAACTCCACGTCGAAATGACTAGCAAAAAATACGATGCATGAATACAGCATTTCATATAATTATAATGCAAAATATCTATGCCGTAAAGCGAGCGGTCGTAAAGCAGGGTTATCATTCTTTTTTTCTAATAACAACGGTCAATTCAAATAATACGATTAATTAATTATTTACTTTATTTATATGTAATTTTGAAACATTTTTATTCACAAAAAAGAAATTAAATTGTAAAAAATATATTAGAAAAATTAATTTAGAAAAAAGAAATAAAAAACGACAAAATGTTAATGTAAACATCAAGGGAAAAATAACGAAATAACAATAATTGATTCTCTAGAAATTAAGAAAAAACTATTTAAATGTTATATTTTTCATTAAAAAATCATCAAAATTAGAATAGGGAATCATATAACTTTAATTAATCATAATAAAAACAATAAAATGCAATATTTGATGTTTGTTTTTAATGTATATTTTTAGACCACTTCAGCTACAAAAATATGAAATTTTCGAGATTGGTTCCATACGCGGAATATAAGAAACCAAATAGTTTCATCCCAAGGGAGCAATAGAAAAGAGAGAAATGCATTCTTTTCCATTTGTTTCTTTACGCTTCTTTAGATAAACGCATTACAGCTACAACAGTGATATTTTTACAAGAATCTAAGCTACGATGTGTAAATAACCAAACAATTTACTTATTGTACACATTTAAATACTTATAAAAAGCATATATACATAAAATATATTTATTTTAAATTTACATTATGTAATATTTTTGAATAAAACATTTTATATGATAGAAAATGCAAATTACTTGTTAATGTTTATATATTTTCCCCTTTTCTTATTATTATTTTGCAGAAATATATGAGGGAATGAATCAAAAATCGATAGAACTATCGATATGAAACCGTATCGATGCTTCAATATACAGAGATTCGAGCTTCTTTTCTATGTTTTCACATTAATTGATCGTGAATGTTTGAATCAATATCAAGTGAATTCTTAACCAATATGAAGAAAACTATATTTTCTACAAGATAATAATCTTTTTAATATAATTTTCTATAGAGATACTGTAATAAAAATACTACGAAGTAGTTATTTTCTAGATTCCAATTATTATAGTTGTTACGTAGAATCTAGAAAGAAATTAGTTAATTATGTACTAATAATTATATCAATATTTATATTTTTATTAGCATATAAGTAGCAATTTTATAAATTATTACAAGCATAAGAAACTGTTTATATTTTATGTCAACATAAATGTACTGTACGTACACGAATTAATTATAGAGACGCCTTTTTATCTCGAAGTCTACAATTTTTTATAGAATATGGAAAAAACGTAGAGATTTTTTTTCCTTTTTTTTGCATTTATATCTTCTATTTACAAGATGAAACCACAAGACAGTTAAACAAAAGACCCCAATTACATTCTAGGACACATGGGAGAGGGAAGTAGGATGCAGTGAGTTGCAACCATCAGAAAAACAAACACTTTTTCCAAAACAGAATCCATCATTTGTCTGGATTCGTCTATAATTCCCATGAAAGAAATACTTAGCATAAAGAAATAGTAAAGAATATTTCAAAAAAGTTTCCTTTTTTCCTTTTTTTTAAAGAAAAGTAAACATATTTAATCCGCTTATTTGATTTTGTATATGATCTGGAGAAGAATTTCTACTTTATTTTCTACAACTTAATTTAAATACACTAAATTTTAAGATACTTTAAAAGTATATATCTGATTATTGCTGTAAGATTATGCTAAAAGTTTCAATTTTATATATTAATTTGTGTTTTATTAATTTAATATAGTAATTAATTTAACGTACAACTTATTAATTAATAGTTAACTTCTGATATTTAGCTTTATTCAACAGATTTCATTCCTCATCCAGGTTACCAGATGACGAAGAGAATCATCGAGGATTATGTCAAATTTATAGAGGAATTACATGTTCTCAATTAATTAGAAACAGAACTGTTTATGTTAAATCCGTCCTCCATCAGAGTCATATGGAAGAGAAACTAGCTGCTGCTATTACTGTCATTGCAACTTCACACGAAATATCAACTGATTGTCATAAATATGTTATACCACTTCTCTGTTACTTTGCATTCCCTCTGTGTGAAGAGAATTCACCTCATCCGGTTGCTAGAAAGGTATGCCGCCATGAATGCGAACTCCTCCAAAGTGGGTCATGTGGTCTTAGAGGTGGTGACGTACAGAGACATCCTCTTGTGAATAAGCATAATGTATTACCCGTTTGTGAAGAGCTTCCTCCACTTGGGTCAAAGGAAAGTGCTAACTGCATACGTCTAGGTTTACCAAATTCTATCGAAGTAAAAAACGGTGAGTGAAAACGTGAAATTGTAACAATATCATAAGCATTTGTTCATTCAAACGAAATTTACACAATGAAAACGCTTTTACGTTTTTATTGATTCTTGAAGTTAAGTTTCTTTTCTTCTAAGTTTCGCCGCTTCTTCAAATTTCTCTTCTTTTGTTCCAAGAAGAAGAAAAATTTTAATTTTCTTTTAGTTCTTCATTCTTAAGCTTCTTGGTAATTGATACTTGAACTTAAGTTTCTCTTCTTGGTTCAAGAAGGAGAGAAACTCAAGTTCAATAGTTAATAAATAAAAAAATTTAACTTTATGAGATAAATATACAATTACATTTTATCATTTGTAAAAAATGATACACTTAACAATCGTTTAAGAAGCATTAACACTTCAAATACCCAAACTCCTCTGGAGTTATATTGACACAGTAACTTATTTTTAAATTTGAAATTTTTTAAACGTTATTTCAAAGTTTATAGCTTAAAAACATAACAAGAATATTTTCTATACAGCACGTACCTGTTTAACTTTGTAATATTTGTAAACAGTAGATTATCAGAAATCACCAACCAACATCAGTAAACTAAGATACTCATGAGGGTTTCGGTACTTTTATTCGATCACTTAATCCAGAACAGACTTCTTCTGATGTAAAAGTCACTTGGGTAATCTTCCCAAGTGACTTTCACATCAATATGATACAAATAACCAGGGATTTCGAATATAAGCTAAACTTCCTTACTATAAAAAAACTTTGTTTTGAATACTAGTCTTCTCTTTAAATACTGATAAATATTTATATATGGTTTTATTCCAGAGCATACGTGTTACACGGGGAGCGGTATCGACTATAGAGGTACAGTCACTCATACCACTACCGGTATGAATTGTCAACAGTGGAACAGTAAGTTAATCGAAGTAATGGAATATCCAGAACTGATAGGTGGACACAGTTATTGTAGAAATCCTGGGGGATTAGAAGTGCAACCATGGTGTTTTACCGATAACCCACATCACCCGAAAGAATTCTGCAGCATTCCTAAATGTGGTAAGCTTATAAAAATATAATAAACACATTGCAAAATATTTTAAAAGATTTTTAATTTGATTTTTTAACAATTCTTAGTGGATTATCTCTGGTTATACATCTTGGTTCCAGTAACTACGTTTATAACTCTAGCTGGACTCCTCGTTGGTTTATGGTGTGTCAGGCAAAGGAAACAACCATCAACTCCACCAGCTAAATCGACTCCAACTAAACCACAGCCTTTATCTCATCATTCATCACAGCAACAACAACAAATGGAGATGAATTCTCTTATGAGAACGCAATTTAGAGCTCCAGAAATTCCCCTGACATCGATACGTTTTTTGCGTATGGTGGGCGAAGGCACTTACGGAAAAGCATATCAAGGAGAAGTTTTAGGTACTACTTCAACTCCTGTATTCATTAAATCATTGAGAGAAAAAGCTTCGCCCAAACTTCAGCAAGAATTTCAAAAGGAAGCCGAATCCATAACTGATTTTCACCATCCTAATTTGGCTTGTTTAATTGGAGTTTGTAGCAGAGAAGAACCACTTTGTCTTCTATTTGAATATTGTTTTCGAGTAGATTTGCGTGAATATCTCATTCGTCAGTCTCCAAGATCAGAAATGATTGGTGACGAAGGTAGGAATAACGATTCACTCGATTTATCTGAAATGCTACACGTCTGCAAGCAAATAGCTTCAGGGATGGATTATTTGGCATCGCATCATTATGTCCATCGTGATTTAGCAGCAAGAAATTGTCTAGTAGGCGATAATTTATCAATTAAAATATGCGACTTTGGTATATGGAGAGATTTATATACATCTGATTATTATCCTGTTCTATCCGATCGACCAATGCCCGTTCGCTGGATGCCTGCAGAATCTATCGTCTATAATAAGTTTACAACAGAGTCTGATGTATGGTCATATGGTGTGGTTTTATGGGAAATATTCAGCTACGGAGTTCAACCTTACTTCTGTTACAGCAATCAAGAAGCAGTGGATATGATCTGTTCTCATCAATTATTATCGTGTCCCGAAGACTGTCCACCACAAATTTATGGTCTCATGGTAGAATGTTGGCACGAAATTCCTTCACACAGGCCAACGTTTAAAGAACTGCACGCCAGATTAAATTGTTGGCCAGCCGTGTACATCAGGACTCCAAGTCTTTGTCATTCCATCAGCACGCACAATGGTAGCAGTACAGGACCCAGTAACAACACTGGATCTACTAACTTAAGTTGCACCACAGCAACTATCTGCACATCACCATTTTCGGTCCGTATGTCATCAGTCAGTCCCTCGATGTACGGACATCAAACCTCTATCAACGGACAATGGAAAGGCGTTCAGATCTAGAACGATCCGTTGAGTTATAAATTTGGTGCTATATCGACACATTTTTTAAAAAAGACACCGTTCCTGTTGTGAAAAACTACGTGTTACTCAATCACGTAACTTTTATATACGAAAATATCGGGATTATTATTATTATTAGGCAATTCGGGTTTTAAAGAAAAATTGATACCTTCAACAATTTTACCCAAGATGATGGATTATACGTATATAAAAAAGGACATGTTTAACCTAAGAAAACGAGGGAAACACCAAAAAAAGAACTTACTTTCACTTATAGAATTTTTTGTATTATTAATCATAATTAATTATAATTATTATTATAACGATTGAAATTGGAAAAAAATGATTAAAAAAAATATATTCGAGAATAATTATTCTATTGTTGGTTGAGTGATTGTCGGTTATTGGCACCTGTCTTTCAAACATTTGTCATGTGCTCCATTGAAGAAAACAAGTTTGGTATATCTTTTCACTTTTTAACATCTGGAAATTTGTCATCGATTGTGTCTTCATCTGGAATATTGTTCTGTTGATGTCAATCGTTTGTTGTAATTTGAAGAAAAACCACAGTAACTCTGTTCATGTTGACATACATTGGTGTCATTTGCCTGTGTTATTATATCTGAGTAAAAATTTCGATTGTTTAATTGATCTGTTTGAATCTCTATGAAAAAAACACAGAAAAATCGGTGTCTCGCTCTTATTTGCTGATGAATTTACTAAATATCCACTTGCAAAATCTCGTATTTGATACTTAAAACGGCGACGAATTTAAATATTCCATTAAATTATTTTTCGAATTAATTTTTCTAAAATTAAACGTCATCAATTATTAATATTAATAAGTTTACTTTTATAAAATTTATTATTAATAGTAAAAAATTTTAAATTTAATTAATTATGTAATTAAATGTTTAATTAAAATATAATTAACCTTTAAAAATTTTTAAATTATCCTTTGACACGCATGCAACTATAAAGATAGACACAGTTTTATAAATAAACTCTCAACTTTAAATTAATAAATTTTAACAAAAAAAGAAACATTAATTTAATATAAAACACGAACATTTAAATGTAATCAATATTAAAAACATTTATAACATTTTATTAATTTCCTTTAAAAATGAAACTAAAATTTATCAATTATTATTTTAAACTCAATAGAAATTCACTAGTAAATTTATTACTTGTTAATTTTAAAAAGAATTTTAATGAAATATATATTTATTAAACGCTTTCGACTTTATAAACACAATTAAAACCTGTTGTTACCATAACAACAACCGACAGAGAATTGCCTGGTCGCTTGCTTAGAGACGTACTAGTCTTATTTAAAATGTAATTTATTATCAAGGATAGTTTTGTAATAATCTGAGAAATGATTCGGAACTAGTGAAGAGAGAACGTATTCCAATTATTTAGAAAATGTTTATCTGGCCAATAACCTCTGAACTTCTAAGTCCTTATAATCCTTCCACAATAGAAGTCGTTGCCTTCAATTAGTGTCGCTGGTTTATTTTTTATTTTTGTTTTTCACAAGCTTTTACTCCTTTCTAATTACGCAGGTTTGTTCTTATTATTTTCTTTTGTTTCTCATTATAAAGTATTGTATATAATTTTCCAAACACTTAGCAATTATAAATATTGAATTAAGGAGAACATATTTACAACCTTTTACAATAGCACAAGTGCTCTAAACATGCTCAAAGTAATCAACCAAAACATGTTTTAGTTTACATATTAACACATTTTAATGGTTATTTTATATTCATATATATATATTGGGTAATAATGAAATTGTTAGATTTTCATAAATAAACTATATGAAATTTTAACTAAATTTCATTATATTAAAAATGATTTGGCAATGTACACAAATATCAAGATGTTAAACAATAATACTTTTTGTTCTTAGTGGTTTTTTGTGACTATAACTTTATACATAGCCTATGGTCATAAATATCTTTTACACGTTTTCTACTTAAATTATATATGAAAACATAAACATTAAATATATATATAGTATGTAGGACAGCCGAATGGCCGAGCAGTTAAGGTTCCGACTACCACTCTGGAATAGCTTGGATCGAATCCGGACGGATCGAAAAAACCCCAGGAATTTTTCGTGGGTGTCTGTCGGATATATCTGGCCCGTTCTTCACCAACCGGCCACCCTGTTGTAGGCCTGTTCGAATCCATAATGGGCTTGCTAAAGGGGTTTTTGGTGCCCATAGAGCGGAGAGTCAACAATATATAAGCCTATAGCTAGAATTTATACATATACAATATATTTTAAGTTTCATTTTTTAAATAAAAAGTGATTCGTCATAGTCTACATAAACATCATTTATATATATACTGCATTGGAAGATGTTTAAAAATACTAATTTTTGTAAGAAAATCAAATGACATTTATAATTTTTTTGACATAAATCTAAGCTATAAGAAAGGAAATATTCTGAATATAAAAGTTTTACGTTTTACTTTTATTTAAATTTAAATTATTATACCAAACATTAAATTATTTATTTATATTACAATATTATGATGGAGAAAAAAGTTAATGCATTAAACAATCATACCTGATTCACAATCAAGCAGGTCTAACAACTAAAACTTAATATTCAATTCTGCTATGACAGAGTTAGAAATTACATAAGCCCAATATAATAATAATAGTAATAGGATATAGAGGAAACATTTGTAACTAGTGCCTTAATCATTAATATAAGATACAATATAACATTATATAATATAATACATTTAGATATTATTACGAAGATAACGTCATGGGAATTAAATTATATCGAAAACTATTAACAAATAAATATTTTACGTTCACTCGGTTCACTTGTTTTCGAAAACAAAATATGTTTATAAGTTTGTTGGAAATGAATCGAATACGGAGATACTTTTAGAAAACTCGAGAGGCGTGAGATTAATCTTATTATTAAAATAAAATTACACCCATTCGAAATTAATTTCTGCTCAAAAATCTAATTTTCAGAGCTGTTTAATATCGTCACGACGAATCTCGTCCAAGACTTCTTTCAATCCATCCGTAATTATTTAATAAAATTCTGTAAATTTACTACAAATATCAGATAGTAAAGGAATATATTTATTTAGGATTTCAGATGAAATGGGCATTGTGTTGGAAATATTATTATTATTAATTTTCTATTTTGCATATCAACAAGTTAGCAGAGTGAAACAATTTCCGATTTTTCAAATTCTGGCAGATTCAATAAATGATTAAAAAAAGCACTTTTCTATTTATCTTGATTTCTGTATTTTCTAACGTAGTTTGCTAAAATGTTAAAATATAAATAAATTACAAAATGCAGAGTATGCAATAATCAATTACTTATCCTCAATTTATTAAGGATAAGAAATCGATTGCTGCATATCTTCAATTTTAAAAGAATTTTAAACAATTCCAGTTATTTTATAATTTATCATTGTTATTTTTAATTAAAGAAACGATTAATGATATTAATTAGATTATTAAAAAAAACCACAAATACAAGTTTAATTGCTTATAAACAAAATTTAATACTCAAATTCATAATCAACTTCCAATAATTAACGTCAAACGAATTATTACGAATAAAATATCAGGATTTCTTTTCATTAATTCATAATATTTGCTAAAAGAACGTCTTCTTTAAATTCTTTATTGAAGTACGTTTCCAGAATTAAAGTTCTAATTATAAATATTTTAAGCATTTGTATTAGCCAATGAATTCAAAATTTACCGTAATATTTCGATCAGCCTTTATAAATTTTTATCATAATTTATTATCTTTATCGTTATTTAAATATTATATAACAAAAACAAAATCAAATTAAACCAAACTTAATGTATATTTTCTTTTATCGTAACAAAAAGTAATCTAAAATCTAACTCAAAACGAATAATTACAAAATACATTTTATTTTGTTGCGTGCAGGAATGCCAAGTACCAAGGAAATAGTTTCGAAATGCGTTTAGCATTGCGTGGTTATTATGACAATGGGATGCAATGCATATTAACGGAAATTTGATGAGTATTATAGAAAAATGGATTGATTAAAATTTATTCAATAATGCATAAGATTCGTTTCTAGAAATACCACACTGCTCTATGCATTTGATGTTACGAACAGGATTTGAAGATTGACAAATTGCATTGAACACGAACACTAGGTCACTTTATTTTTCTAATACGTCAAGAATATTTAAAACTAAATTTAGTTTTGTTTTCTGATATAAGCGAGGATTGGATTTGTTGATAGGATGTGCTAACAGACAACAACTTACTGTGCCGTTGTATCGCATCGACAAATCAAATAACCGGGATTCGTGTAATGTGTGTCAGGCAAAATTAAGTATTCGTCCCGAAATGAAAGAGACGAACAAATTACGCTCATGAAAAAAGGTTAAATATTTGAATCTAGACCCTTTATTTCATAGTTTATCCATTCCTCTAAAATAAAAGAAAGTATTCGTAAACAGTCTCAAAATAAGGAAAGAAATAATTTTCTAATACATCTTAATTATGAACTAATAAATTTTGACTCGTTTTGCAATTGAATAGTTAAATATTTATTAAACTGTTTGATATTATATCAAGATGTTATGAATAAAACGAAAAGTAATTTTTCAAAAAACCATTTAATGTAAATAGCAAATTTATAAAAATATCATAAATTTTAGATATGAAAACTTTACATAATCTTAATAATCGGAGTTTATTAAAATTTGTTACATCTCATTTATGATGATAAATTTCTCTTATTAGTTTTAAAATCTTGCTAATGGAAAACTATGGTTATTTCTGTTAAAACTAAATGTCCCTATCCATTTGTATTCGTGTTAACTGAAATTTCTCATCATACCATTAATTTAAAAAATATTTTTAATTCATATAAATCATAAAGTAGAATTTTTCAAATGTCTTCAAATGTCAAAATATACACAGAATATTCTATTAGATTATCATAAAATAATCACGTTACGTAGAATGTAATTTATGATTCCATTTAAAACGTGAAACCAATTCACAGGAAAAAAGCCGCAGGTTTTCTAAAAACGAGTTTAAAAGGAGTTATTGCACAAAATCGTGTTTTTCGTTACCTAAACGACGATTGGTCCCGTGCGAATCACTAACATTAGTTTTTAACTTAAAGAAAAATACTTTCTTCTTCTATTATTTAATTTTCGATGACATTCTATTAAGCTATTAATAATTTATTGATGATTTGTTCCTGCCTGAGCGTTTATCATGATTAAGATCGATTAAAAACCCACCAACACGCACCGATCTCTCCGCTGCCATCTAGTAACCCATACTATAACTAATTCGCACTATAACCTCAACAATTTTTATTTAAATGTTATACCTATTAAATATAAATGAAATTTTTTCTTATGTTGGAAATTTATAATTTAAATATCTGAAATAATAATAATAAATACATTAATCTATTTTATGTGATGATAAAATACGCATAATTTAAATCTTTATATAAAAATTATCGTGTAGTTAGTTGATTTTAAAACTAATCTTTCAAGAAATAACTTGAAAAAAAGCTTCTTGACGCAACAATCAGACACCACATTTACTAGATAAGCATTTCAAATGCCTCATCAAATAATAAT